TGTCAAAGCATCTCCAGAACTGTAGGTTTGTATAGGAAAGTTGTTATGAAATATAATATTAAAAATGTTTTATGTGGTGGGTTTCTTCAGTAAAAGTCAGCTATCCTGGAGTTATAAATTGAAGCCTGTGATATGAGTCATTGGGCGTTTGATTTGTTAGTTCTCCAAGAAGGATAGATAGGAGACTCATTAAATATGTATTAATTCTACATTTTAGGGCATCCACAGGAAATACCTTTCTTACTACATAAGTCAGCTTTGTGAACAATGGGAGCAATTGTATTTTTCTGAAGCATCAGAGAGAGTGACCTCAGCTCTGCAGATAGCGTTTTTGAGTGGGATAAGATGTATTAGTGTCATTTTGGGTGCCATAAACTTGGGGCCTGACCATCTTGATATAGTCAAATTTGAGAGTAAAAGGTTACAATAACAAAAAGTTATTTGAATATACACTTTATCAGAAAAAAACTTTTAATTTTATAGCTTTTCACAGTAAATATTAAATGATACAAATTTTTATACTCCTCAAATTAATTATAGGCTTACTACTTTTCCTGTTTCTTCATTTAATTTCTGGTTTGAGTATCCTATTTCCAAAAGACGTGTTTCCTCAGAACAGATGTATGTATCATGAGCGTATTTCCAGATGCAGAAAATTGTTAACTGACCATACTCTGATGATTCATGAGTCTTCCTATGGAAAATATTTTTTTATTGCCATAGTTTTGGCACTAGTGTAGCATTGGCCTCTTTAGCCACCAGTGCGCTTGTAGCAAATGTGAGTAGAGTCCTTCCCAAATATTCGTTCGCGAAGCCCAGCCATGATTGAGTTAGCAGAAACTATCAACTTAAATGGAGACCTTTCTCCTGTGGTAGGAGATGGCCTTGTTTCTATTTGTATCAAGCTTGTTCTTTTGTAGGTACTTGTGTTTGACGCTGGTCAGCAGTGGTGAACATCTCTTCCTTTTCAGCACGGTGTGCCAGAGTATTGTTATGCACTTGGTGTTAATCGGAAAGGAACATTTTCAGTGAAAATGTGTCCTACAATGTTATCTTATGATAAAGAGGTAGTTAAAACAAACAGTATTAATGTACTGTATCTGAACTTACTGTTCATTATGTGTTTGCATTTCTTTTCATGGAATTTATATTCTTATATGAAAATCTTAATGTCACTGCCACAGGGGTTTCCTCCGCATTATCCGTGAAGATTATGTGAGATCCTTATTTTATGATACATTTCTTTTGAGTGTTATTACTGTTTGGAATGAAAAAATTAAAATAATGTTTCATGTCTTTTGACTAGTTCTTGAGCATATGGAATGCATTGCAGTGAAGTTTAATATGAAAATTAAGGAAATAAGTTGAAACATACTACCAATTATATCTTTAAAAGTATTTCAACTCTTAGAATATTTTATACATAATCAGAAAGCCTGAAGCCTTTACTAATTCTATTTTATAAAGCCTCTCTGCTCTTACACATGATTGACATACTTCAGTAATGAGAGTAAAAACCTAACAAAGAAAGCCAGGACTTGAGTCAAAGGCTGTTAATTTTATCTCTGTCCTGACTGCCATGACTTCATCATGAAATAAAATGACACACTGCTTCTAAAACTTAATACAAAGAGAACAGGGAAGGTCTGTGCATGAAATGAAAAAATCAAGGGCAGCAGCATCTGCGAGTAAAATCAAAATTCCTGTTGGATGCTGAGGGTTTGCTGGGCAGGATAGCCCCATTTCCACAGTTTTATAGGACTCATGCCAGATTTCTGTTGGTCAGTTCTTCTGACTGTAAGGGTTCATTCAGCTTGTGCCTCTCTGTTCCTCTCAGCCCTGTTCAGAGAGCTGAACTGAGATGTTGACACAGTGTGTGTGTGTATGTGACCTAGGGCTGCATTGAGCTCTTGCACTTTACCCACAACATGTACAGTTTGTACTGGATCAAACACAGTCTGGCCATGATTGTCAAATGTTTCAGATTCAGAAGATCTTAGGAAACATAAAACCAATGTAAACGTGTAGAAAAGTGAGAACTGGCTTTTACAGCTAGATGGTGACAGAATATTTTGTAGTAGCTGAAGCCTTGTTTTCCTTCTAAATGTTGAGAGGAAAAAACAATGTATACTGTTCTTAGCCCTGGATTGATTGATTTCCATTGAATAGTTAAAGAGCTAGTGGTCCCTCTTCTGGAACTATGTTAGCTCAGCCTGTGGCATAGTATGTGCCCTTCGGTTTTCTTCTGTACAGCTTCTAAGCTAATTTTCTCTTGACCTGTATGATAAGGTTACTTAAAAGTGAAACATAGATTTTGTAGGGAAAATTTCAAGGTCCAAAATTAACACAATTGAAATATAAACTTTAGAATGATATGAACGTAACCTATTTTCTGCAAAATGAACTTGAAATTTCAAAACATATCTTTCAAAATTTCAAAATTTTAACCTTTCCCAGTAAAGAGGGAGCTTTTGTGCTTCCCTTGTAACACGAGTCCACGCAAATGGAGAAAAGGATGCAAGGAAGCGGGCATGTAAAGGAACTCACCAAGGTGAGTTGTCTATGCATTGTGTAGGTAGGTGTTCTGCACAGTGTGAATTGAAATTTTTGGAAATAGGATTGTTTTCAAATGAAAATGTTCTATATTTGTAATTCTCTGGTTCAGTGTTAGGCAATTCCTTTCATTTAATGAGTATCTTAAATATAGAAAGTTTTACAGATCATCTTAATCAGGATTTTTAGACCTCTTCCCAAAATGCTGGTTCAGCATTCAGTACTGAATGTTGTGTATTTCCCTTATGCTTGTCTGCACAGACAGGTCCCTTCATTTCAATTATGTTGTTATAATTAAAGTGAGGCTGAAGTTATACTTATTTTTCCGATTCCTTTACTTTTTGGAGAGTAAAATAAATTAGCCTTGCATAATGCTTTATTGAAAGACTGGAATATCTATGTGAGTATTATTCTACTAGTGAATTAATTACAACCTTTTTATCTGCTTTTGGTTTTGTTCATAAAATGGTTATAAGGGAAGAACTTTTCAATGTTAAACAAGCCTTAAAAATTTCTTTCCCCTATTCACTATTTCCCCCCACCCCATTCATAGTCAGTTTTTTCTGGTTGGGGTCACGCAGTTCTCTCCTGTGTTGTTTTTATTTTCCTCGGGCACACCCTTCTGTGTTGCTCTTGGGTCAGCATCTTCTTCTACATCTATTGATCATATGAACATGGATGTCACACTACAGTTTCAGAGATCTTTCTGGTTTATGATAATACTGTGCTATGAGAAAAAGGCAGAAGTGTTGATCAATAGATGCACTAATTAAAAGAGCAATGAAGTCCATTTCAGTTAAAAAGTTTTAAACCAGACACACTTTGATATATGTCTTCTCTCCAAGTCATAACTAATAGTGCTACTTTGCTGAGCCCAGTATGGATGAAGACGTCCATGTAAGACACATCTCAGCAAAATCTTTGCCATGATGTTTTTCTAAGAACAGATGTAGTACTAGACCTTGCTTGCTTCACATGGAACTTGACACTTCTGATCTTCTGGCATTTTCTTGCCTCCCCCCACCATATTTTTCATTTTTATTTATCTTTGTTTATCTTTATTACAGACTCAAATGAAAATTCAAGGAGTTTTTGAATCAAAATGTTCACAATTGACGCATAAACCGAAGCCCCTAAGCAAAGACACTCTTTGGCACTCTCAATAATATTAAGGCCCCATACACCAACATTTCAGGTAAAAAATGCTTTTTGGAGCAGTCAGGAAAGCTTGGTGAGAACAATTAATCCTACACATTTAATTCTCTTTGGAGATTTTAAACGTAAACAGAAGGCAACATCATTCCATAGATCTGAATCACCTCTGTTGCAGACCACACGTGGTCATTCTCCCAATACACACACGTATGCACTAGCTTGTGCATCCACTCAGATTGAGGGTGGACTTCAGGAAGGCACCTTGTGTGTTACACAAGCCAGTCCTTTCGTCCCTGCTGCACAATGAGGTATTCACCAAGATCTGTGGAGAAACTCTGCAAAGTAAGTTCTCCTACTCTTAGTTTCCAGTAGTAAGAACTGTGAAATGGCAGTAGAGCTTGCTCTTGCATGTTCTGAGAAGTCTCTCTTTCTGCTGACTTGAAAGGAGTCAATGCAGTCTGGCTTGCTATCTTGGGTATCTCAAGTTGAACAGCAACCAAAGCTCCTGCTTTGCAGGAATGTTTCTGTTAAAAGATGAGTTCTTGGCATATTTTGAGACTTTCTAAGAAAAAGATGGATGCTCTCTTCTATAGCTAAGCGATGAAGGTAACTAGTAAGTCTATAAAGTTAAACCCTAACCAATTCAGTTCATTCTTCATCTCAACATGAAACTCAAATACTTTCTGTTTCTTTACAGAAAGTTTTTTTACAGAAAGTTTCTTTCTTCAGCTTTACATAATGAAAAAATGTTAATATCTAAAGGCTTAAAAAACCCAGGCACCTAAAAAGAATGAACTTTGGAACTTTTTTTTGTTTAAGAAATTAGAAGAAAGCAGAATGAAGGGGTTCCATCCAAACCAAAATTATAGGTTTTGAACTGTTTGTAAGAAATAACCATCTCACTGCCTGGAGCCCTGGCAGTCTCAAACCTATGTTTGTGAGGGTGGGAGTGAAACAATGCTACCTTCTCTTGCAAGGCCTGGCAATTAAAAAAAAGTTTGGAACTACTGATGGAGACAACTTGGAAACATGGTAGCTGGTGAACCAGTTATTTCTGCTGGTGACCAAGACTCAAAAGAAAATAAGAGGATTTTGATGATGAAATGAAAAACCTTCCACAGTTTTCCTGATTTTAATTGTGCAGTTGTTGACATGCTCTAGGTTTTAATAAATGAAGGTGGGTTTTTTTCTGCTCTTAATAAAGTTGTAGATATTTCCTCATTAAAAAAACCAAACCAAACAGAACAGTTTTATCTTCATATAGTGAAATAATTCCATTTAACTTTCTATAGGGCTGGCCTTTGCTGCTCTGTCTTCAGTCCATCCAGTTTTTGGTCTATATGGCTCTTTCTTCCCTGTCATAGTTTATGCCATATTTGGAATGGGACGTCATGTTGCAACAGGTAAGTATCTATTTCCTAAAAACCTTTTCAAAAATAAAAAACTGGAAATTGAACTTTTGTTTTAAGATCAATGGAAGGAAAATATCATCTATGACTAAACATCAAATTATGGTTTTTGCTTCTTTTTACACCTATTTTTTGTCAGTTTAAGTACTTTAAAGAGCCTCATTAAGAATATATTGGAGTTACTTCTGCCACTATAATTTAAAATTGGATTGACACTTCTTTTGTAAGTGTAACTTATTAAGAGTTTCTGTGTTTTAACTCTGCTTTAGAAATCTGCTTCAGGCTAAGATTTTAACAAAGGGCTCTGCCAACAAGATATATGCAAATGGGACTGAAAAAGGCTCGATTGCCTCTTAAACCATAGAAAACACATTACTTCTCAACTGTCTAAACCACAAATCCTCCATTTTTTAGGAAAAAAAAAAGGCTTTTTGTGCCTATTACTTGCTATTGTATTAAAGCTGGAGACTCTCCCAGTGAGGGCTGCTGTCCACACTTGTAGACTAGTTAGATAGGTAGTGAAAGGTGCTCCCTGGCTACTATGCTGGTAGTTATGAGTTACTTGTTTACCCTCAGCAGTCACAGCAGCTGCAAGAATTGAATGGCTTTGATCTCCTAGGTTAGGCTGGTTAATGCTCTGTTTCTGATCCCAAAGAAACTAAATTATATGTGGAAGCTGGAGATAGTACTCATTACGTTGAACCACAAATTGTTTGCCATGCAGAAGTTGGCACTTGGTGGCCTCTGAAGTTTGCAACTAGGATGAGACAGGCCCAGTAGTAACACACATCATGACTGGGTAAAGGGAAGCAACCTCTGTGGCTGTCAGAAGGTTTAAGGAGGAGGAGGGATGTTTTCCTTAAGGAGGAGAAAAAGTCCTGAAAGGAGAAAAGATGGTTGTGGGTAATCACACACAAAATGAACTCTGCAGAATCTCATTGCTCTCATGTATGCAATGTTTTAGTAAGCAGTTAGCAAGATATTTTTGAGCACCTTTTTTGATCAAAAACATTCAGTTAAATTACAAAAAAAGAAAAATCCAACCAGCTGTAAATTGTCTTAGAGCAAAAGTAAAGCTGAAAGTTTGTTTTCCCTAGATACACAAAAAGTATTTGAACCTCGTGATGTTCGAAAAAGATCTGTGGATGCTGTTAGTGTCCTAATGTTGTAATGACTGTACTCAGCCCATGTGAAAAAGAGAAGCATTTGAAAAGAAGTGAAAATTTAGAATTTGGAAAATTAATTTTACTCTTGAGTACAGACAGATTAGTACACTTACTAAAACATGAACCTATATTAAAAAACTATATTAACAAGTGTTGTCAGAAGTTTGTTGGTGTAAGATTATTAGGAAGACAAGAATCCATCATATGTAGGAAAGCAGATAAGTAAGTATCTGGCTGGCATAAATTCTACTAATTAAAACAGATGATAAAATAGGTAGGTACAAGCTGTTAAGTTTGATGTTTTATTCTTGGGAGGGAATGATGTTCAGAGAATGACTTGCTTAGTCCCACAGCTTCAAGTCTGCAGATTTCTGCATGGTCAGTGGTGCAGAAACCTATTCCTTCACTGATATCTATTACAGAATTTAACTTTAATCAAAAAAAGGCAGCAAAACAGTTCTCTAGCAGTAATGAAGATTTTTTTTAAATTAATAAATTTGTGTGACATATGTTGTCAGTCATTTCAGCAGAAAAGTCTCATGCACTCCTCCCACCACTCGGTTGAGCTGTTGAGCTGTGTAGGCTGAACTGGAGCTATACTGCCTGCCTCAGTTTCCCAAATGTTCCATAATTCCTTGTGAACATTGAAGACAATCTCTTCACCTATCAGCATTTTCTGTAAGATCTGTGGTGCTCTCCATATATACACAGGCTATAAAAGTGTCCTTTGGTAGTGAGGTTAGTCATGTTAATATGAAACGGAAAATTCATCAGTGGCCCAGTTCTGTCAGCTTTTACTCATTTTAAATGTCTCTTCTTTGAGATGGCTGATCTACTCTAAAAGATTATACACCTGAGCGACAAACACCTACACCTTTTCCTTCACTGTTTGTGATATGATTGATTTTGAAGCATCCTCTGAGACAACTTCATCCATCATAATAACACCTTTAGGTCTTTGATTTAAGACAGAATTTTATGTAAACTGTTTTCAAATTCAATTTTATGTAAACTGAATTTTTTTAAGTAAAAATGAGAGAACAGGCTTAAAAGAAAAAAAAAGCAATCTGAAAAACAAAATATTTACAGCTATCCTGTTGCTTGAAAAAAATGTATTTTTGGCCTAGATAAAAAAAAGAAAATGTAATCAAAATAAACTCCATCATGGTTTGATGGGAAAAATTAAAGGGACTCTCTTGAGAAACAGTTTGCCACTTGAAAAATGGAAAGCTTGGCCATATGAGGTGGGCAGGAAAGTGATGAAATGTGACAGGTCAAACATATGTAGGAACATTAAGGGGCTAAAAAAAAAAATTTAAAGAATTCCGTGGAGAGTATGATCAAACTGGTAGTTAAAGTTTCTTTAAATCCTCCAAAATCAAGACAGTGAGAAGTAAATTGGTGGCATATCTTTCTGGCAGAGGTGTAATTAGGACATTCTGTGACAAGGCCACAGGATTGTCAAGTTGTCAGTGTAATTTCATTGTCATAAGGGCTCTGCGGGGAATGCTGGGAATGTCAGACCTGTTGGTAATAAAAATAAAAACACTGAATCATAGAATCTTAGAATCACAGGATGACCTGGGTTGGAAGGGACCTTAAAGATCATCTAGTTCCAACACTCCTCTCATGGGCAGGGACACCTTTCACTAGACCAGGTTGCTCAGTACCCCATTCAATCTGGCCTTGAACATTTCTAGGGATGGGGTGAAAAAAAAAAAGTATAATCGGAGTCTGTTGGAGAGGAGTTAATATGACTTCTGTAAAGGAAAATCCTACCTCTCTAACCTCCACGGGTATGTATGAGTGTCAATAAGCACATGAAGAAAGGAAATGCTTTGAATATAAGTTATCAAAATGGTCAAACAGCTACTGATAAGATTCCACACCAAAGGTCACTAAAGAAACTAAGTTGTCCTTGTGATAGAAGAAAAGTCCTTTTATTAATTATTAGTAGATTAAAGGTTAAGAAGCAAAAGGTAGGACTTCATGGCCATTTTTCAGGGTGGTGGTGTTCCTGGTAGGTTCCCAAGGAATTCATGCTGGGAATCCTGGGCCTTTATGAAGGCCACAGTGAGGGTAGTACTTTGTTCACTGGGTCCTGTAACAGTAGAATAAAAGTGAGTTCAATGAGATATAATTTTAAAAGACTTTTAAAGTATAGATTAAATAAAATAGTACAGCAGACGGTGAACTTCTGGAACCCGCTCTCAGAGGACATTGTAGAGGGAGAAATTACAAGCAGGTTGAAACAAACCTTTGACAAATTCATGAACTAGTCCACAAAGTCAAAAAGGGTCGGGTAGGGATGTACTTTAACACAACAGCTATGCATGCTGGTAATAAGGGCAATGGCCTGCAGAAAATGGCCAGGCTTGTGTGTTTTTCCTGAGTAACACCTCTGACTGTCACGGCTGGAGGCAGAGTACTGGGCAAGATGGACAGTTGATCTGACATGGTAAGACATCTCTTATGCTCCTATAGCTCTTCATGAATGTGTGCTTATTAAGCTATTAGAGGGTGTCCAAAGGAGGGCAATGAAGTTGGTGAAGGGCCTTGAGGGGAAGCTGTTTGAGGGGTGGCTGAGGGCACTTGGTGTGTTCAGCCTGGAGAAGAGGAGACTGAGGGGAGACCTCATTGCAGTTACAACCTCCTCTTGAGGGGAAGAGCAGGGGCAGACACTGACCTCTTCTCTGTGGTGACCAGTGACAGGACCTGAGGGAATGGTCTGAAGTTGTGTCAAGGAAGGTTTATGTTGGATATCAGGAAAAGGTTCCTCACCCAGAGGGTGGTTGGGTGCTGGAACAGGCTCCTCTGGGGAAGTGGTCACAGCACCAAGCCTGACAGAGTTCAAGAAGCATTTGGACAATGCCCTTGGGCACATGGTGTGACTCTTGGGGATGGTCCTATGCAGGGCTAAGGGTTAGACTTTTATGATCCTTGTGGGTCCCTTCCAATTCAACATATTCTGTGATTCTGTAATTCTGTGATTTATCTGAGTGTCAGTAAACTTGCTTTATCTCAGCTGCTAAATGTTTCTCTCATAATGTGCCTCCATTTATTAGAATGCTAGGTGCTATGAAATGGGCTAGGTATCATATGTATATAATAAATTAATTGCCCTAGAAATTTGGTTCATGAACACTTGGGATTCTCAGACAAATAGCTGTTTGGTCACGTCCAGGGTGAGTTAAAAGCATTTCTGATAACTTGAAATAGCTGTAAATTGCTGTATTTGAATCTCTTTTGTAAACATGTCTAAATGAATGTGCTCAAAAAATTACATTTAATTCACCTGTAAAAATGGTATTTTACAGGAAGAAATATGTGTTAAATAGAAAAATTACCTTAAAAATTGTTCTTATCATGACAGAAATGTACAAAATGGTACCTTTACTCATAATGGCCAAGTTTTGAAAAAGAGACCATGAGTGATGAGTACATACAGATATAAAATTATTTTTCACTGATTTGTGGCTTTTTTTATAGGAACTTTTGCTTTAACTTCCTTAATATCTGCCAATGCAGTTGAGCGTCTTGTTCCTTCAGTCACCACTAATTTCACTGCAAACAATAATTCGGGAATTTTGGGCTTATCGGAGTTTGAAATGCAAAGGATTGGAGTTGCAGCAGCAGTTTCATTTCTAGGAGGAATCATTCAGGTTGGTAGAGGTCTCACGTTTACTCATGCACTGCCTTTGTGACAGCTGTGACATTTGTAATACTTTTATTTTTCTCACTTCTCTGAGAACAACTGATGAAAACATCTGGTCTGATGGTCATGAATGATGAAACTAATGTGTTTTAAGAATTTGCTGCTCCTTTGTTGAGGTGTAGTAATTATCTGTATACATGCTGCTAGTGTGTTACAATATGAAGTAAAACCACATTCAATCAGCTCTAATATAATGCTTAGTTGCTGTTGGTGCCCCTTTCTCTTCTCCTTCAGAAAAAAGACATGAATCAGCTCCTGGTAAGCACTGACATATTCCTTTGGATTTCTGTTGCTCTTGGCTTGAAGAGAAATACTATACAATATCCAATGATTAAAAACAGCAGGGAAAACGTTTAAATTCTCTCCAGGGTTTACACACCCATCATTAAAATGAAATAGTAAAACAGATGCCTTTGTATGATTCTCCAAAGCTTATTCAAATGATCAGAGGTCTTTTAAATTTCTTCTTTTTTCTTATTCTGACTGCAAGTGCTGAGTTCCTTTATCCATTGCCAGTTGCTTAGATCTTCAAGAAGGCTTCTCTCTTTCCTTGTAAGTATTAAAATGGAGGAAATGTTCCAGCATGCAGCATTGCAACACCTCCTGGGTACCTGGCCTCCTGAAAGAAACCCAAACTCCTGCACTTGTTGCTTTGGATCCCTCTACCATGCAGAAGATGAGCAAAGAAGCCCAGGGCATCTTCAGTGGCCTGCATGCTTGGCAGGAACGGGGCATATGCTTGTGCTAGTCAGTAGGAAATATCAAGAAGCATGACAATTTCTGTTGTATTTTTATTATTCTTTTATTGGATACAGGATTATGACTACTGGTAGCAGCATGAGGGAAAGCCTATGGACAATATACAAGGTAGAACTGGTGCTGATTGTGCCTGGCTGTGCATGCACGTGCTGTCTCATTGCACCAGTATGTGCAGTACAGCACTGCATCTTGTACAGTGTGCTTGTAAGAGCAGAGCATGCACAGAGCTCTTTGCGTGGGAATCCTGTGCTCACAGCTTGGAAATCTCCTACATTATCCCCAGAGAGGCCAGAATGCTTTAAGCAGGAAGTTGGTGCCTGCATTCATTTGATCTAACTTCAAAATCAAATGCAGAAATTTTTTGCTTAGTGGATGGAGAATCCCGTTAGGTGTGTAAATCCTCTAGACCTCTTACTCTTTCATATTGAAAAGTTCTGCTTTTTCATATACCTTCAATTGCATCAGCTGACTTAGCCTATGTCCTGTTTAAGCTTGACTGAAATGAGAACAACTAAATCCTCTGCCTGCATCTTCAAAGCAGGTCTGATAGGGAACTGTACCACGTGCATGGGCTCCTCTCCCAGGTCAGTAATGTCACTTGCATTGGAGTCGTGCTAGCACAGCCGGTGCTTGTTGTGCTGCCACTAGTCCTTTATGTGAGTTTAATGGTTAAACTCACATAAATGGTTTAATTAAAATACTTATTTCCTAGAGAAGTGCCTCGAAGCTCTTAATAATGCAAGTGAAAGTCTGGATCAAGGCTGAGATTAGATTGTGCCATCTTCCCAGGTGCTGTTAAGTGTGGGAATCTATGTTTCTCATCATGATTCCAGTCTGACTAACAGTTCCTGCAATTCCCAGATAAGATGACAGGGCACATCTTGCTGTTAATGGAGAGCTGTCAGTGACCTGCATCTATTTATCAGATTAGACTAGAAATTATTTAATAGCCTGGAGTAAATGTATATTCTGGGACAAGAGAAATAGTGTGATGCATTTGGGGGCAAGAGTTTTCCACTGAAAACATCCTAAAATACAGAAAGAAACTGAATTGTCATTGTAGCTGGTATTTGGGATGGTACTTCTCTGGAAAGGGAGCAGACCTGGGCTATGGTATCTACTATGACTCGTTATTCTGAAAAAAACAGTCAAAATGCAGTGCTCTAATCAGCGCAAAAATCTAATTTCGCAAAAACAACTGATGCTGTGATTATTCCATACCTTGGTCAACCTCCATATGTAGGATGAAAAGTCCCTGTCCAAAACAGCTGTTTCCTTCTATGAAAGAGTAGGTAAAGAGCTGAATGTCCTTGGCCTGAAAAGCAATTTGATACTATTTTTTCAGTAGCCTGGCTAAGTACTCTAATCAGCAATTAATGTCAAAGAAAAAAAAGGAAAAACATACAAAATAGTGAGTCATGGAGGGAAAGCAAAGGGTAGAGATGTGTTTTTGAAATGATCTGCTGTTGGCTGCTGTATGTTTTGTGCAGACCGTAACTGTGCATTTGTGTGTGGGGCAAGCTCTGAGCAAGCTTTGTGAATCTCAGTGCCATCTAGACATGAATAAATTAGAACTGTTTTCTCATCATCAGGTGAAGCTTATGAGATTTGAAATTTGGTGCTTAGTTGCTTACATTTTTTTCTAGTAATAAATTTCAGAGTCCTAAACAGCTTTTTAAATATAATGTTTGAGGGACTGTTTATAAAAGACGAAAGATATTTAGTCATCTTAAGAGGCTTCTGATGAGGACAAAATAGTATTAAAATAGAAAATAAGTAAATGTAAAATAAAAACTGTAATTAGAAAAAATAATATAATGAATTCACTATTTCATTTTTTAAAAGTAGAAAAGAAGGAATAATGAAAATTTTTTCCTATATTTGTGTAGCTCCTACTCTATTAAGATAAACAGGGCATGGAAAACTAGTCAAGTTAATAGAATTCTTTCCTGATATTAAATACATCAGGTGTATTGATGGGGAGAGGAAGTGAGGGAACATAACCGATACCTATAGGATAATTTTGTAATTAAAATTGGATGATGCCTTTATAACATTAAAAAAATTCAAAAAAGCTTTTGGATAAGATTTTTTTCCCCATTAATATATTATATGTGCAAGACTGCTTGCATAAATATATGTGTCTATAAAAGAACCTCAGCATACTAAACTGAAATTCAACACGAAGATTTGCTGAATAGAGGAAAGCTGTTTGCAGATCAAAATGAGAAAAAATAATTTTTATCCTACAAAAAAAGTTTTATTCTCTTAAGACCACAGTGTTACAGAGTTCAGCTATGCTACTCTTCTGTAAATGAGAAATAGCTGCTTATTGCATTCCAGTCTTCTACATTTTCACTAGTAAATTTTTCAACTGCTGTATTTTGAAAACTAACATGTAATTAGTTGCTGATACAAAGTATTTGAAATAAAATGTTTCTAGTTATCAGGAGAACAAATTTACATGGTGTATTATCAGTTTACTTAACAAAAAAGGAGCACATTTGAATATGAAGGGTGTTTTTGGAAGGCTAATATTCTTGTCCAAAACTTTTCTTCCCTGTGGGGAATGTTATGTTGCTCTATTCTATGTTACACATAGTTTTTCATGAGATTATAACATGAGTCTATTATAAGTGATAATCAGGAAAACAGTTAATTTTTCTTTTACAGTGGAAATAACTTCTTGCAGGTTCATATTCTGTAGCTTGAAAACTACAAGTAGGCTAGGTGGGACATCTGGTTCCCACAATTATGGTGAAGCATACAATGTGTTAGTACAGAAAGATCATAGAAAGAAGACTTTTTCAGGTCCTAGAGTGTGGAAAGATCACTTTCCACACCATCAGAAGCTACCAGACACTCTCGAGACAGCCATAATGAACATGAGAGTTGCAATGCAGAAGACCAAAAGCTCACAATTAAATGTCTATCGAAACAGGCTGAGAAGAGTTTTAAACTGATTGCTCAGTGAAGCTGAACTGCCCACGTCTGACTGTTTTCTCTACATGGTCCATAAATGTCTTGACTTTTGCAACCTCTGACTTTGAGATAACCAATACAATGTACTAAATGAGAGTCTCACACTCTGTAGTGTTTCCCTCTAAGAGATGTTCCCCATTCCTGACCTTGTCTTCTCAGCCCATACAGCAAATCATCAGAAAAGGTACCACCACTTTTATTTGCTATAACAGTGAAAAAACCTTCCAGGACAGTGGAGTTTTAAGAGCTTTAAAACTCATTCTCCAAAACTGAATTTGTGCAGCAGGTAATATGATATCAGCCTTTCAATTACCCTCAACAGAAAGTTTGATATTAGTAATTTTCAAAGAGCTGTTAAGTGATAAAAATTTTTACTGGCCATGAAGTTAAATTGACTACATGTTGAATGGAATTTCAATAATAATAATTTTAATAATAATAAACTGAGTGCGTTGTCATGGGAAGAAAATATTGAAAGTGGACAAGAATCAAAAGGGCTTGAATTTGCTTTTTGCAATTGCTCATTTTTCTTCTCCTGGCTAAATCCCCATTCTCTTCTACTTGTTGGAGTAAAATTATGGAGCAGTAAGGACAGCTGCAAGAAAAGGTTCCATTTCTATTATCTTTCTTTCATCTTGAAATTTCCTTTTTTTTTCTATAATTTTTTTTTATAGAAATCACATCTTCCACCACTTTTGCCTAATTATCTGGTTGTATAACTTGTTTCCATGATCTCTTTTCCTTTACTGTGCGTTCAAGGCTACTTTCTCTCACTTTCTCTTGTGGGTTTTTTTTTTTCCTCTAGCAGCTCTTGTTTTCATTTACATGAATTTAATCAAAAATGCATACCTGGTGAAAGCAAATTGTCTAACACAAACCATACTTATGGTTTGGATGTATTTTACATAACCCACAGTTATTAGCAAACAATAAAAAGTATATTTGAAATGTGATCTTTTAGTTACTATCTGTAAAGCAATCTCTTAAAATGCTGAAGATAAAAAAAAAAAGTAAAGAACCAAAAAATAAATCTGAGAGTGATGCTGAAGTTTCTAAGTTCAGCAATTATGACACCATTTTCCTGTAAATCACAATAATGACTTTCTCTGAAATGCTAATAGTAACTAACACTTCTGTGTGATATTATGTAGTTCAAAGAATTTTCTCTAATTCCACGGCTAAATAAACATACATCTAATTCTCTGG